AGGTGGATATGTCCTTTTTTGAGTCAACCATTTGCTGAAAGATACTTTGGTCCAGTAAATCTTTAGCAGACTTGAATTCGCTTTCCAGGCTGGGATAGGTGCTGAGTTCTGGCGTGACGTGGATTGTGTATGCTTTGTTTAGGGCCGTGATGAATCGGTTCACGTCGTGTCCAGGGTGAAAAGTTTTCTCTAGCTTCAATGTGTCGCGTATAGTTTGTTGGCGCATCATTAAGATGTACTCGCCGTTTGTTTGAGCGGTGAGAGGTGTTGAAGCAGTTGATTTTAGGGCAGTCAGCATGTCGTTTATGTCGGCTTGAATTTCCTGTATCGTGGCTTCGGAAGGCTGTGTTGGTCACGTTTTCAAGTTGAATAGTAGTGTTTTCTGTTCCTTGATGAGAGTAAATAGTTCGGCTCGGGTGAAGCTCGTGTAGTCGGCCATATTTCTCTTGCTGTACGCTTCTGACACCAGTGTTATAGACAAGCGCATTGTTGCAAGAAAGAAATACGACAACAGTAGAAATAGATTTACGTGGTTTATTTTAACAGGAACGTGAGAGTTTGGGACAGCTACCTTGGTGTGGTAAAGTTCATAAGCCGGCTTTCGGATCTGGTCAATATCTCATAGTAGTTCACACATGTTGACGGTGATTAATGCTCCCCTGCTGCTGTCAGCAGCTGAACGTGACAGGTCTCTATCCTGGACACCTGTGGACTGCCTGTTGAACTTCCCTATGACCCCTTTTATAGCGTTTTTTTATGGCTTAACAGGCTCAGAAACGAAGCGTGTATAATTAGGAGGGAAGCATTTTTATTGGACAAAAAATAGAGCACTTTAAATATTATTTTATTTTTCGACCGGAACACGTGTGTCGGAAACATTTGTGAAGAAAGATAATGGTCATTTTGTGACAGGGCTTTGTCCCGTTCACATCCGGTTCTCGCTCTTAAGTATTTGCCTGTAAATCAGCCGAGATATGTCTTATTTTATTTTATAACATTATTAGGTAGGCTATATATATATATATATATATATATATATATATATATATATATATATATTTCTGTTAGAGATACAATCTACCGATGTACATGTAAATTTATGTATAATGTTGGTTTTCTGCAACACATTAATTGGTGGTGAGGAGTCATTACAAATGATTGAATTAGATATATTGAATTTAGTATAGTGTATTATTAATATAATTTTTTACTAGGATTTATGGTGGATATATTAGTATTTATTAGTTTTATTTAGGATATCTGTTTATAATTAGAATGTATCTGATTGTAATATAAAAGTTTAATATGTTTAGGATTAATTGAAAAGGTATTATATTCTATTTGCTTTATATTAAAATTTCTGATAGAACATCTTGTTTGTTCATCAACAATATAATTAGGGAAGTTATTATTAATAAGAGTTTGTTTTATAATTTTTAGTTCACTGGAGAAAATCTGTTTTGTTGATGAGTTAATTTTTGCACTGTTTATTAGGTTTTTTATAATTGCTATTTTATATTAATTTGGACATTCACACTTATACTTAAGCCTGCACAAATTTATGCTAGTAAGTTTTTTATATGGGGAGATAGTAAATTTATTATTATTAATGTTTATCAATATATTTAGGATTTTTATTACTATTATTAAGTTTTTATGTAAATTTAAGGACAGAATTATTTTGGAATTGTTTTTGGAGCTGATATATTTCATCCATATTCTTCACTAAGATAAGGATATTATCAACATATCTTAGGTAGATGGAGGGTTTATTTAAATTTATTAAATATATTTTTAATATTAGACATATAGAAATTACTAAAAGTTGGGCCCAGAACTGAACCCATAGAAACACTATCCCATTGTATATATATATATTATTTTTTGTGATCAGAATAAAATAAATATACATCAACATGAAAACTTTCTTTGTTCCTTTAATAAAGATACTAAGAAACTTGTCCTTAAATATGAGAGGATCCTATTAAGAATAAGTAGACAAAACTTGTCTAAGTTATTTAATGCGACATGTCTTAATGAAAACATGCTGCCAAAATATATGCAATATATATATATATATATATATATATATATATATATATATATATATATATATGTATAATTGTGTATTTGAGCAGCAATCACTCTTTTATATAAGTTTCATTGAAGATGACTGACATTTGTACAAGTTATTTCTTTTATGGACATGTATGTAAAAACTGTTCTAATGATCTGTAGATCCAAGTGCTTTTGATTAATCTATTAGTTATTATCAAGGATGTTTTTTGTTTAACTGAATATATAGATTTCTTGCTATATATAAGTATATATAGGGATGAGTACATTTCTTAATTTCTGAATACACTCAGTACGTTTGGTTGTTTCAGTGAAATAGAAAAAGTTGTCAATTTCAAATCTTTTCAATTTGTACCCTCTTGCTTCTTAAAATAATGACCTGTATTCATACTTATGATTGCTATTGCAACATTTGGTTAAAGTTGTTAAGATGAAATATTTATAGGGGATTTCCAAAGTATTTTTTAATCTTAGAAATAAGCATTTTTATTTATTAAATATCATGATTCATCAGAAAATTCAAATAGGAAAACTGTAAAATTCTCTTGGGTACTACTAGTTATTATCATTCTTACTATTGTTGCTGTTAAAACTATTGTTTAAATCATTTAAGCATTTTAATTAAATGTTAAATAATAGAAAATAATAACTCAGAATAAGCTGATATTAATTACTTCCCCTTGATCTTATTGTTATTTTCTTAGAGTTCGATAGTAATTTGCAGGGGCACTTCAACATGCTGTGATGGTTAGCAAGCTTGTCTCACTAGATAAATTATGACTGAGTAGTGAGTCTGCTCCATACTTTTGGTCATATGCTACAAGTAAGCTACGCATAGTAAATCACTATAGTAATTTACAGGCATGTGTATTTTCTCAAAATCCAAAAGTGAATATTTATGCATTTTAGTCAGTGTGTACGCTCCTAATAAGTTGAATAGTAGTTGACTAACTCAACCGCATAACAAAACTCAAACAATAACTATCAATTAATATTGCTGAAAATATGTTTACCTCAAGAAGAGGATTCAATGTTACATTGCTGAAACCAGTTTGGAAAAAAAGAAATCATCTTCATGAGTAGGTAGATGGTGTGGGAATAGAAGACAGAGATTGAACTGTGGTATAAGGATTTATCAATTAAAAAACAAAAATTGCAAATAAAGTATGTTCTCAATGTAAGCAAAGAATCTGTTGAGATTTTGGGGGAAACACCTAATCACATGATCTACCAGAAATTAGTGGGGTAATAGGGAGAGAGGTGAAAGAGATGGGAGGTAACAAAAATAACACTGCAATTTGAGGAACCAACTTCACAAGACACTATGTCTTGCCAACTGCCAATCACTGTTTTCCCCAACTTTTATTGACATGAGGCATCTTACAAAGACCTGGTTCTTGACTAGTTACAGAGTAACCTGTATGTAGACATGCCAAAACTCTCCTGTTGCTAACAGGAAAAACCCAGATGTATACTGGTGTTGACAAACATGCAATCCAAGGCCTCTTTTGCATCTGTACTGATGTGTGTTGCCACATTCACTCCTGATCTCTTGATCACAGATACAGCAGCTAGAAGTGGGTCTCTTTCATTGAGTGCTTCTCCAAAGTGGGACTGGTTTGTGTTCCTCCATCTTGTCTCCATGTGATTCTTCCTCCATGGGATCATCTGGCCTATCACTTTCAGATGTTATGATGTGAATGACACCCCCACAGGTGCACCATTTTCTAAAGAGTATTTTCTTCCTTTTTTTTAAGTTTTCCTATTAGCTTTGCAAGGTTTTTATTTTTCATGATCTGAAAAATTGTATTGTAAATCTTTTAAAAGCCTATAATTTCTGTATTTTTGTTCTGCCATTTAGCCTTCTTCATAATAATGTACATGAAAAGAAATTTTTGTGCAAGCTTTTTGTAAAAATTGTATTTTGCCATATTGTTTTATGTCTGTGTAATAAACTTTGGTACCTTTCAAATTTCACAATAGTAATTTTGAGTTTTGTCTGTTATTGTATACATTTTTTTAATATTCTGATAAGAGAGGTGGCATTCTTTCTCCCATTCTCTCCCCCACACCAAAAAAAAATTAATAATAGTTCTCATGATTTACAAAATAAATTTTTTACTTCAGTTTTTTTTAATGAAGACAGTTTGCATAGAGCAGGCAATAGACAAGACACAGGAAGATTTCTTAATGACTTTGCCTTGAGCTGTTACATCTGGTTGCTACCCCAATTATTATGCAGACTACTTGGACTCTGACTACTTGTCCTTTTGTCCACATACACAGACGTAATAGTAGACATAAAATATGCATGAATATTAAACAGAAAAATGTTCAGCTCAATTGTCACGTACTTGAAGAGTAAAATTTCTAATAACTTAAACTTTTTCATGCTTAAAACTGAAACTTTGCTTATTAATGATTTTATATATGCGTAATTTTTGTTTTTTCCCATTAATTGTACTTTATTTAAATTTTACTTTTGTATCTTAGTAATAATTTTTATAAAAAGACGTTTTTATTTTGTAGTTTGAACACATATGAATAGTTTCTTTCATGAAATTGAAAGAAAGATTCTTACGATTCTTGGCAAACGAATTTAATTATAAAATACACAAAAAGTAGACGGTTCTGAAAATTAGAACAAGTCTTTATTCTTTTCCAAAAATAGAAAAAAGTTAAAAAATGAAAATAAACAGTTTTAATTTAACTTTTTCAAACAATTTCATTTTTGTAGAATTAATTTTTACATGTTCAATTATTTTAATGAACGATAACTCCATTTTACAAAGAACGATAACTGCGTATCCTTCCCGACAATTGAAGTATTTCACTGTTATTAAAGTTGGTTGTCGTCTGCCTTCCTGATGCCGTCTTGATGCTATCCACCCAAGTGGGAAGGAAAACAGCCTGAGTTGGAGGAAATGCGCCTTTTTCTACAATTGAATAGACGTATATGGATTCGGTTGGCTATCCTCTGTTGTTTTTGGAGCTCGTCTGGGTGGTGTTACATCGGAAATAAGAGTAAAGATGGTTTTTTTCATCGTCATCACGAGCCCCGATCAGTGGTTCGTGATGGACGAGTAGTAAACATTACCACCAAGAATAGCAGTGAAGTCAAGAGCGTCTTGAACCCTGTGAAGGATTTCTTGTTTACTTCTAGTAAAAGTCAGAATAGTAATGGATTACAAAATTCCTCTGATACTTCATTGGAAGGGAATAAAATATATAGGTCCCAATGGTCTCCCCAGTCAGGTATTCGAAGTTCAACAAAACAATCTCAAGTACGGACTTCTAAAAGAATTCCGATAAATTCTGTCGGGATTCCATTTAGAGAACAAAACTACGCCAATTTAAGTCAAGAATATCATGGATCTGTTAATAAGACACACGGAATTGTTTATGTGTACCGATACGAGGAGTCAAGAAACGAGGTAGGAAAAATAAATAAATGACTTTTTTTTTTTTTTTTTTAGTTGTATGACGTTTTCATTGTAAATTTGATCAGCTTTTTTTATTGTTTTTGGTTGGTAAAGTAACTAACTTTTTTTCCTTATTTTTAGATATTTTCTAAAATCTAACCTGTTACAAACTTTTTTTTTCTTACAGAAATCAATAGTTTAAGTAATTTTTTTTAAGTAAGTTACGATTAATTTTTTTTTTTTTTTACAGTTATGTATGTACTTTAGTTTCATTTTTAAAATCTCAAGATCTACAAAATATCCACTCTCAAAATATAAATCAATGTCATTATTTTTGAAAATTTTATCTTTTTAAATAAAATCTTCAAGCATTTTAATTTGCAAAAGATCAAAGAAATCTAGCTTTAATTGAAAAATGTTACTCATTTCCTTTATTTTTAATTATTATCTTATTAAAAATTTCGTTCGATCACGCCCAGCAGAACACGATATTCCTTTTAAAAATTAATTATATAATTTTAAAATTAAAAGACAACTTTTTTTTGTATTGACGTCTAGGGTCCTAAGACCTTATTTTTTTTTAGCAAATATTATTTGTTTGTATTTTTTAATTTATAGTCTAAGAAGAGTCTCTACAGGTTAGAATTAAGGCAGAATAAAACGGTAAATAAAACTCTGATCCCCCACCACCACCACCAAAAATCATTTGATCTGAGAAGAAAACTGAGCGATTTTAATTTTTAATTGCCTTTTTTTATTGACTATTGGAAAAAAATCCAAACCCCGTCAAAATGTGCTCATTGGCCCACAATGCACAAGTGACAAAAAAATGTATTTTTAAACCTAAAAAGATATAACTTTTAGCCTTAAGTTAATTCTTTTTATCTTAGTGAAAGATTAAAAAAAAAAGGAAAACTTGTTCAGTTCAAAATCGATTGATAACATAAAATAAATTTTATGTTTATTTGAATCCTAAAAAAAAAATAGAGTAAAAAAAAAGATTAAAAAAAGAATATGGCTTCGAAAGAAAAACCAAAGAAAAAAGGTAAAAAAAAAAATTCGACTATTCTAATAAGAGTTTTGTTTGATTACTACTTTTAGTTTAGTTTTTATTTTAAGTAACTATTAAAAGAAAAAATGTCTTTAAGAAACGTGGCTGTGTTAGAAATCACGTGGACATATTGCCGTGAAAATTCGATGAAAAAAGACTAATCAAACTTTTTGTAACCTTGACAAAAGACCGTTTTTAAACCTACAAGAAATATACTTCAAGTCAGCTGAGCTTTCAAAGCAATTATCCGCTCTGTCCTCTTCCTCAACCACCTGAAGCAGTAGTCAGAGATGATGAGTTATTTGATTTTTTTATTCATAAACTTTTTCCGATAATTAAAACAGAAATTAGATGTAGTTTTCAATAAAATTTGCCTAAAGTGAAAATACCTTCCTGACAAACGCAGCCAGGTCCCACACCTTAAAAATGAGGTTGTCAACAAAAAGGAAATTATTTAATTCCAGTTTATAGCTAAAAATACCTTGTTGAAACGATCTCAGCTGTCTTCTTAGTCATAATTTTTTTTTTTTAAGTATTTTTTTTTCTTTTTTGTTACTGCTGACAAGAATTTGACGAAAACAAATTTGTTCTAAAAAAAAAATAAAAAACAATGTCTCTCGCGTCGGAAGAACTTGGCCAGAAAAATAAAAACAGCGAAGAGAATTGTTTCATGACGTTGCTAGGTGAGAAACTGTTTAAAACAGAATTCTGCAAACTAAACAAGTCAATTTTGATTTTTGAGTAGCAGGTATCGTCGAGTTTTAATTTTTATACTGTCAAAAAAAAGATCCCCTCCCCCCAAAAAAACAAGAAAAAAACATTAAAAAGTATATGCTAAATCAAAGATTAAAAGTTCTTATTTTTATTTTTATCTTTTATTGTCACTTTCTTTAACCAATGCGCAAGCATATGATGAAAATGGTGAATTGGCTCGGTTGTACAATCAAAAACTTTCAGGTCATTTCACACCAAGCAATAAAATATTTCCTGGTACACATTTATAATTTAAAAAAAAAAAATTTAAGGTTAGTATTTATGATGCACTGATAATTTAGTGCTCGAGTCTTTATTTTATTTTTACTTTTTTTCCCTGTTGACTCTAGAAGAATTTGGAAATTCATTGATCAACTTGAAACAGATTTTTCAGGTACAATAAAGATGAAATAATCAATAATTAGTACCGACAATATGTCTGTTTTTAGTAATCCTGCAGAAGTCAGACTCTGAATTAAAATATTTTATATTTGCCTCTCCACTAAGGCAAGATGTGACACAAGGTCGTTTTAAGGTAGGGAGAGCCATACACATAAATAAAACATTTTTTTTTTTTTTTGCTCAGTCCCTACAACCACTGTCATGCTGGTATCGATATTACACTGACCCTTCTTCTCTTACTGCAATGAGGAAGCAGCTGCCACAAGGTTGGAATCTCTGGGACTGATCAAGTTCTCCCATCAAAAATAAGGAGAAACATTACTCCACAAAAGTTAACTCATATGGATTAAAATTAATATGTAGGTACAAATGTCTGAACATTTGATGATGTTGCATGGAAGTTCACCTATCACCTGGTTCACACACCATCCTTGTCTATTGAACAGAGTAGAGGTCTATCACTTGTTTCCTGTTTAAGATTGGGTTTCCGGTTCCTTCTTCTAAAGTCATCTCATTCTCTTACACTCTTGATTACAGCCTCTAGTCTCTCATCTACCCAGTAACCCCTTGTATCTTAGTGGCATTATCACCTTGCTTGGTGTGAAATGATTTTAAAATTTTATTTATTCTCAATTTTTCTAGTTGAATTCTTCACCTATATTGCATATGATCAATTATTGTACATAATTAGGTTACAATAAAATTTGTATTTTATATGAATACTACCTTATAACACATGAGATGTAGTAGAGTGGAAGTCCCATAAATTTGAGGGGGTATCACTCTTGCACCAGCCCATATTTTAGATTTCTATCTATAACCCCTTAATGTCCACAGTCCCAGTAATGGAACAGTGGGCATTAATGGATAAAGAAAACATGAGTGAAGTGTTACTTAACTAGCATCAATCCATTTTAATGTTCACCATTATCAGAGATCAGACAGAAACATCAAATTTTAAATAAAAAAATAAAAATGAGTATAAAAGAGATTAGATTTATTTTAGATAAAATCAAAATTTGATTTCATAAAAAGTGCAAATTACTAGTGAGAGTATTGTATTTCCATTTAATAAACTGAACTACAGATTGGATCATAAATACTAGATCATTTTTTTCAGTATGTCAGTTAAGTACTCATAAAATTGAGTTGTTAATTGCACACACACACACATCTTCCTTCGCCCTTTCAACATACCTTTTTATTGTTAAATATTCAAATATGCACCAAAGTAAAGTGCAAAGAGTTTTAGAACAAAAATTAAATTTTCTCAAATTTATAAAAAAAAATATAATCCAATAACCTGAGAATTGGAGCAAATTCTGACAATTATAAACTTGTTATTGATTAAAACCTCTAGTCTCTCATTTACCTTTTGATTCTACTTTCAGAACATAAAGTTTGTATTCCCCAATATTGTTATTGATTTGTCTGAAATCTAAACATCTGGTGGAAAACAAAAATGTGTTGGAAAATCCTCTTATCCTCAGTGAGGCTCTTGACTACCAACACACCTCAAGGACCATAGCACTAGATATATCAAAGGCCTTTGACAAGGTGTGGCACAAAGGCTTTACTACACAAGCTCTCCTGCTATAGAATCACTAGAATGGTCTTCATGATTATAAGATCATTTCTAAAAGGTAAGTTCCTAAAGGTAATTATCAATGGCCAGTCCTCTGGAGCCCTAAACCTCATTGTGAGCATCCTCCAGGGATCACTCCTTAGACCAACCCTCTTTTTGATTCACATAAATGATCTGCCTAAGAATATACTCAGGTCATTTGTAAAGATCTATGCTGATGATATGACTATATACGGGCACACCTCTAAAACTCTCAATGGTCAGAGATTGCTGACTGAACTCTTCTGATCTTGCACAAACTATCCAATGAAATAAAAACTGGCTGGTTACATTCAATGCCTTGAGCAGTACTAAAAATAAAAACTAGACATCTCTAGGCATGGACAGTGGAACAAGAACAGACTACCCTAATAGATTAAATAAAGGGTTCAGTTTGGAATTCCCTGAAGGTTACCCAGATCAGGTACACCTGTTGTAGCCAAAACATTGTGATAACAACATCAAAGATGAGGACAATAGTCTGAATGTAAATAGTGTAAGTAATAACTCTTTATTCCAGAGATTCAGACAGAAATTACTTTACAACAACTTATATAAAAAATATATATTAAACTAGGCTTAGTTTGGGCACAAGTTTGCAAGAATGAGACAACTGGTGACGATCAAACTTATTGTTATTCAATACTCAGCAGTTGTAATAATCTGGGAGACTAGTCTGTTAACCATTACAAAAAATCTCAGAATATCATTTGGTTACAGATTTTAAGAAAGCTCTTAACAAACTTTAAGTTTAAGAGCTTTTTCAGTGTTAGTCTCATATCAGAATAAATTTAAATAAAATAAATAATTCAAAATAATTTTCAAGTGAATTTGAAATGAAATATGACCTGATATTTGTTGATTCTATTGTTATGGAATTATTTTCTTGATCCTTTTAAGTTTGACACTGGATATTACATTAAGAATATTCTTTGACTGGTAGATAGTAGTTTCTGAGACTAAACAAAGAGTGAAATTGACTAGAGATAGATCTACATCCCTTTACTACTGAAAATGAAGGGAGCAAGAAAAGAGAGAAAGTAACAAAAAAATAAAAGACCTTCTTCCTCCTCCTACAGGCATGCAGAAATAGACAATATAAGAAAGAGGAAAGGGGTGTTTTTATTCAACAAGCAAAATTTGCATACAAAGTTTGTAACTGCTTTCTATGAATAGTTAATA